GTACTACAGGGATATTAGGGTACATACCAACGAAGTCAAATGTTTGGAAGACATGCGCATCAGTACATCCCTCCATTTGTGCTCGAATATCGATATCCTGTGCTACTTCTAGAAGACTTTCCCCGCTAGAGGTAATCCAACATTCCTTGGCAGCAATACCAACTTTTGCGCATTCTTCACGCCAGATCGTGTGTAAACAAGGCCGGATACCAACCAGGACTGCGTTGACTACCTTGGCCACCCCTTCTGTGATCGTACCACAACAAGCCGTAATTCCACGTGTCGCTACCAACGGCTTATGTAGTTTAGCAGTGAGGTATCGTGTGGGTAACTTCTCAGTGTTTTCATACTGAGTGTCACCATCCTCGTCTTTGTACTGCTGCTGTGAGATGGGCAACTTTTCATCTAGCAAAAACTTATACATATTATGTTGTCGATCAATGGTCGTCTGTTTCACCAGCTCCAACTCTCCGTGTACTGTCCTATACCCCGGTCCTTCAAGTTCTGCTTTGGCTAGCCTAATATAGCACGCCTTGCAAGTGATACAGATGCAGTTGGCCGCTTTGTCGACTCTCGTAAACACCACCTTCTTGTGCAATTGTTGAAAAGATGTCCAAGCTGCAGCAAAATCTTTGTGACCCGTAAGAGGCTTAGCAACCTCCCTCTTGTCCGCGTCAGTCACTTTTTGTTCTATCGCGTCGTACAAAATATCCTCCCATTCCTCAATGTCATCGCGTGGCACTTTGAGTTCATGACATAAATCGCCAATGTAAGATTCTATGGCGTCTATGAGCGATTCAAAGAAAGAGAGGTCATTCAAGGCTTCAGCATATTCTGCTCTAAAACCAGCTTGTAGGTTTAGCACAGCTGCAGCATTGTCATCCTGAAGACATCCGGCATCTGTGGTAATCAAAGATAGATTTGGAACCATCCTTGGCAACAACCGTGTACTGACTCCATTGGTGGTCTTTGCAAATGCATCTATATTTACCATGATTTACATCTCTCGCTACGTTGGTGGTATTGAACATCATACTATCTAGGGTAGCACCATACCTAAAACAAGGGATAATACGTTGTACAGCGTCACGGAATGCACGGTGTTGGGGGGGAATGTACGCTAGAATATTTGCCCGCATGAACATCCCACGGAGCCCCAAGGAGTCTGCAACAGAACTAGTAAAACCAATCACTACCAGTTGAGGTACCTTACGTTGCTTAACCAGCGGAGGGGGGAAAGTCGCGAGGTATGCTTTGCGTAGTGCCTGGAACGCTAAATGCACATCCTCTGTGATACCCACCTGCCCTACATACCTAATCATGCGCAGCATGTTTTTTGGTGCTAGCGCTTTGATGTAGGCATCGACTTTATAAGGCTTGTACTGAATTAGCTTGGCAAGGTACTGTATTCGTCGTTTCCAGTCACGGGACCGGAACCTCCTCTTCTGGCAACCCCCATTTTTTGTAGTCTTGCGTGCTTCGTGTCTAGACCGTTTGATCGGTCGCGTACCAAAACCATGCGAAGGCAAACCCGGGCTAGGGGGGCATGCAATCTCTCTCTTGGTATTGTAACCATTTCTGACAGTGTCCATGCATGCAATCCAAGAATTCTCCCTCTGCCGCCAGTGTAATAGTGTGCCAGACCTATGGCCTTCCGGCAAGTAACGGGGGAGTGTCTCGAGCTCGAAAACCGCAAACTTAGTCCAATCGAGGTCTAGTGTCCTGCCCAACCGATCTCCGGTACCTAAATGCCCCGCAAATCTTGCATACGGATTATCTACCGTGCGTCCCACATATTTCAGACCATTCGACAAGTTCACAATAGCGTATATGGTGACTGTGTTCTTGCGGGGGAGTGGTCTCCCATTATTGCTATCTTCCCCGGATGAGGTCCACATGGGGTATGGCCTACCACACCGTTGGGGTTCGTATGCACCAACAGGGATATTCCCTTTGTCTGTTGCAGTGGCTAGCCAGGTGTCTCGTCTTCTCCATAGCGAGTAGCATTGTGGGTGGTTGCTTTCCGACGCCTGTTTCGATCGCTCGTAAACCAAGCGCATTTTCCCGACCTTGGTGTTCGGGTCCCATATGTGATTTGGTCGAGGTCGTTTTCTACCTCTACCTCGATGTTTCCCCATGGCATTGGTGTCAGTATCGTCGATAATAAAATCTTGGTACACTTTGACTTCACCGAGTGAAGTACCAGCAGCCTTCCTCGTACACAGAGCCCAGGCGGTGGTCCAGTTGTGTGTTTGTCCGTGGTGTATTTAGCAAAGGTAATGCGAGGGAAGGGAGGAGGGGGGGGGGTTAAAAAGGTTGATATGGTGTAGCTTGTTTAAATTGTGTGTGTCTCGCACAGAGTTGGTATTATTTGGGCATAGTAGTAAGTTATCACATGAGGATATTCCTTGTCGGACACCGACGAAGGTAGTCAATATATGTATAAGAGCACAAAGTAAATTAACTAGCTAAGTTAGTGCTATCATGATATCACCCAGGTGGGTCAGACCTCGAGAAGTGATTAGCCTTCCTTGTGGGGGCAAACCACCAAACTTGATCGACGTGTACTAAAACGTAGCCTTTTTGATTCCTGGTGCCAGGAAAAATATCGTCCCCAGACAGCGAGCCACCCGAAGGTAGCGCATCACCCAAGTCAGTTCAGCACCGCTAGCATGCCACCGGTTTTCAGGGGCATCTGGGCTACCTCTCGGGGCCGACTCCAGATGTTCTCATTTTTTATTTTTCTTAATATGACATTTTTCGCCGAAACAGCAGTGTATGTATGAATGGGAGCTCACGTACTTACTGGTTGTACCGTTACGTGCTAAAGACTCGTTAAAGTCGTGCAATTTCATTTCAAGGTGACAAGAAAACCCGACTTTTTTTCGCTTGTTCCATTTCGTGATGTCATCGCAACGAGTACGCTTCCTTCCCTCAATAGTCGCTTTGCTCGGCACACAACAGGTTGACTTGGTGTTTCTCACCATAGAGTAGCGGTAAAAGCGCAATGAGCAGCACCCGACACGAAGGACAACACACTTCGAAAGATCCTATCCACCCGGCCTGCTGTTTCCAGTTTTCAGCAACAACAGGCGCAGGGCAGATTGTCGTAACCTGGGTGTTGCTTGTGCTTTCTTCAGTTTGCCAGCTCATTTTTCAGGGTTGCGACTCCCATCTTTGACCACCAACTGCCCAAAGGTAGACGAACTCAACAATCATAGGGCGGCAGCCGCGCTGATGGCCAGCATCATATAGANTTGGTGTTTCTCACCATAGAGTAGCGGTAAAAGCGCAATGAGCAGCACCCGACACGAAGGACAACACACTTCGAAAGATCCTATCCACCCGGCCTGCTGTTTCCAGTTTTCAGCAACAACAGGCGCAGGGCAGATTGTCGTAACCTGGGTGTTGCTTGTGCTTTCTTCAGTTTGCCAGCTCATTTTTCAGGGTTGCGACTCCCATCTTTGACCACCAACTGCCCAAAGGTAGACGAACTCAACAATCATAGGGCGGCAGCCGCGCTGATGGCCAGCATCATATAGATTGCCAATCCCAAAGAATTAGCGTGTCGGAGGCCCTGTTGCTCCTCTGCTGCGTGGTGCTGTGGATTGATGTTGACGAGTCCGACCAAGAACAGATCATCTCGCCGCATTTTTTCCAACGGCATTTTGGTGAGGTGGCACACGTCTCTTACACACTTAATGAGCAGCAGCCAAGCACCCGATATCCACGAAGCAGCACGGCGCCGGGAGACGGTATCATATAGACAGCCGAACCGAAGGAATCAGCGCGTTGGAGGTCTTGGTGCTGCTGCTGTACTCGTTCCACTGTTTCCGTGTTTCATATGTGTGAGTGAAGCAAATTCCCCAGCACCAACAGGGGCAGCAGTTGGAGCCGAGAGCACTACGCAATGTCTAGTTTGGACCAAGAACGGACTGAACGCCGCTTCTGCCGCTTGTCCATCTTCACAACAGACCTGGATGTGAGTCTGGCAGGTCATTCTAGCGTTCTCAGTGATGTTACACCGCCCGCGGTGCGCTTGTCCGATGCTTGTGTCAATAACACGGATGGATCCGTGAAAGTAGCAAGCCCAAAAAAATCCGGGAGATGATAATGACATGTACGTCCATATCAAATTTTGGGAAAACGACACAACAGGGTATGCCCTGGTCGTAAAGCGACACACCTGGGTACACAGTACACTTCCCCTCCCCGGCCTGCTCCCCGGCCGGGGCCGAAATCGACCTTGTGAGTCCCTCGCGGGCGAACCAGGCTAGCGTCCTGTTCAAACAATCAGCAGCAGCAGCACCAGCCGGGGAATTTTTCAACGTTTCTTTCTTCTTCTCTAGCTGATGAAGATGGATAGCACCCCCCCCTCTCTAGCTGGTGACGATAGATAGCACCTCCCCCTCACGGCTGACGATGGATACCACCCCCCCTCGCTAGCTGATGATGGACACCACCCCCCCCTCTAGCGGTTTCTGTGAATACATACATCTGTGAGTACCCTACAGAACACACCTAACACAAAAAAAACAGGTTTGACTCCTCAAGACATTGTCCACTATTGGTCCATTGCNATACCACCCCCCTCGCTAGCTGATGATGGACACCACCCCCCCCTCTAGCGAATGATGATGGATACCACCCCCCTCTGTAGCTGGTGACGATGGACCGCCCCCCGTCCTTCTGTATGACGAGAAAATCACACGAGCCAGCCAATGAACAGACGCACGAGCCTACTGCAGGTACTTTTGTTCAACCACCACAAAAACTATTCCACCTCCAACTCTAGTACCATTTGTTTTGTTTCCTCGCGGCGTCGTATGTGCCGGGTTTTGAGACCACGGGCTCCCCATTGGAAGAACGCATCCCTTTATTTTTCCCCTGGGGCCCCTCAGCCCTGACGGCATAGCTGAGAGCCTTCTTCGTTCGGGCAAATAATATCATCCGCACTCAACGCAGAAAGGAGGTACGCAAAATCTTCGAAGCCATTTGCTCCAACATCCGCTTCTGACCGGGGTGCCGGGAACGGAGGTCCACTTCTTCGATCGCAATCCCTATACGTGAGTGAGAGGGAGCGGGGGCAGCAGCAGAAAGAGCAATATCGCTGGGCAACATGCTGACTCTCGCCGTAGGGAAGAACCATCATGTTGAAAACCGAGGAATTCCCAACGACCGCAACCACAACGCAATGGAACATTCTGGAACCAGTGCAATCATATTTCAGACAACGGCTGAAAAAGACCAAACCGGCATCACCTGGGTTCAATTCAACGTGGGAGGGGGTGAACTTTGCGCTGCTGCCTACAGCGCTGGAATCGAGAACACCCATAGAACTGACGGGGCCTATCCATCAGGCACGCACACACGATGAAGATAGCATCTGTCACATGGCAACTATCGTCACAGGAACTGCTTGCTCCTGCCGAGTAATCCATGCGGTGCCGAACAATCCATGTTGGGTGGCTGACTAGAAGCATCGACGTGACGCATGACCTTCTTGGCACACGTGGGAGCAAAAGCTCCCGACGACTGGTACCAGCGTACGTTTTCGGGCTGATGTATCTCCCTCTCTCTCCTTTCTCTCCCGGTGGTCATAACAACCATTCCAGGTACCCAAGCGTCGGTGAGTGGACGGGGAATACTGGTGATGCGAGAAGACAACAGCTGCCTGTGTCGGCGCTCGGAGAAGTGCTCCAGCTCTACTCCAATGCTACCATGAGAACAGTGAGGAAGAGAAGCACAATGCATAGTCTACAATAGTGCACGCTGCCCTGCAAGAGGAAAAGGGCGAATATTTTTTTAGCTCGAAAAGGGATAAAAAAGAATCGCAGTGAAAATTGACATAGAGTATTCTCGATATTTTGTGTGGTACCGCAGAAACAGCATAACGGTACGGCAACGCTCCACCAGCCACCAGATCGCGACCGCACGAGAGGCCTCCAAGGAAATCGAGACAGGGCTACATGGGGTCGGGCATTCCTGGTTCATTCGCAGGATGATCAATGACAAAACTCAAAAACTGAGCGTAGTAACCCCACGAAAAGGAATCCGAACTTCAAGCACGCTACGGCATGAATACCGCACGGTCCTGCTTCAACTCTCGGGTATTGTGGTTCTAAACTCCGGGTGACAATGCCGTTGATGCCCTTTGTCCACCCAGGAAATATGTAGTCTGTCGTCACGCCGGGAAAACCTCTGACCACCCTATCTGCTGTCGGCTTCGAGATCGGTCCTCAGGATAGATTGGCGCACCTGATGAACTTGAGGAGGCTGGAGTAACCGTTACTGTGAACTCGTCTCCAATGTACGTCTTCTACCCGCTGGCGCCGTACCGCATGAAGATGGTGCAGCCCCACGCCAGGCTAGTGGTAATTCTCAAAGATCCCACGGCAAGGTGAACGAAGCTTTAGATCATCCCATTGACGGTATGCCGTGGTTCCTTAAAGTCCAGCATTGTACACAGCACTGGTCGTCTTTCTGGCGAATCCGGCGATTGCTCTTGACCTCCAGAACCAGTGTCTTAGAATGAAGGCGTTCCGTGGAAAGGTTCTTCACAGTAAACGTTACGGTGGTCGATGATACTCGCACGTACTCGTGTGCTTGTCCAGGGGACGGCTCTGTAGGATGGACCCCTTCTTTTTTCTTGCTGCTCTTCCCTCTGACATTCCCTGCGTCCCACCTGCACGGATTGCAGGAAATATGCGGTGTTTCTTGGAGGGTTTAGTGGCCGCAAGCGGCAACCTATGTTGTGAGTAGTTCATTCTCGTTATCGGGCATTGGTGCAGCGAAGCATCTTGCCGGATCTGCCTTCATTTTTGCTTGCCTGTCTACCGTAAATGACACGAGATAACACACCCCCTGGACCGATTTTCAGATCTCGATTTATCAACAACCGAAGTAGTCACGGCGCGGAAAACGGCGGCGTTGGAACCGTCTTGTCGAGAGCTTTCCAAAAATGTATCGTTTCGTTCATGCATCCTCTTCGTCGTGGAGCAATCGAGCTTTGAAAATTGGTCCAGGGGGTGTGTTATCTTGAGTCATATATGGTATGCCGTCATTGTGTGAAAAGATATCCTCACGTCACAGTAGTGTCGTCGGAATACACGAACCCTCCATACCTTGCCCGCCAAATCTGTGACGAGCAACAACAATATCCGCATTCTCGCTGCGAATGGTAGTGAATATTCGTTCACTTCGTCGTTAGACAAGGAAGTCGTCGGCTGCAACGGAAAGTGGTGTGCTTCGTCCATCCCCGTTGGTAAAACAACGGTTCTCTATCATCCGACAAGCCGTACTGCCCTTCCGCCCCAAGCTAAAGACCGAAGCCCAATGACATACAATTCGAGTGTTCCATACAAGACGGCTCCTGTGACACTATTGTGCAGTGGAAGCGTCCAAGAATGTCTTGTTTGTCCGCTGGTCCAGAACATCGACAGAAGATTTACATTAGTAATTGCACGCCTGAGTTTCAGATATGTATCTCCTCATCGCCTCGTAATAGATACTTTTCGCACGCCCGGATGACGATGTGCGGAAAGATCGACGAGTCCAAACCGAAAACATCCGTGAACTATCGGCTGAGAGCGTTTCATGCTCCCGGGCGAGCAGCTGGATACCTCAATCGGGTGAGTGCGCTCCAGTCAGGAAGCCATGTCGGTTCGCCCACGTCCTGTGACAGGGTTTGAAGTGTGAAGTTGGTACATAGTGGTGGCGGTGGAGGTTGCACCGGCGGCGGCGGGATATGATGACTGTATGTCGTAGGTATGGCAAGTTTCGTGGAAGTCGTATTCTTTTGCACAGTCTACGCCGCTTTCGGAGGATGAGTGCAAGTCTAAATATGTAATTAACGAACGCGTAGCCAGATGCATGCTCCCCCTTTGGAGGATCACTGAGTCAAAGTCGCGCCGGCAATACTTTGACAGTCACTTGAAGAGACAAAGAGCACTCCAAACTCATCATCTCGCAGTCCCAGCGTACGACGCCGTAGAACGTTTGTCCTCCACTCGTTATCCTTGTGTAGAAGAGTTTGTTCCGCAATTGTACCAGCAACAGCAGTCTAGACAAACAGCGGTTGAACACATGCGAATCTTGAAGTCCTGCGTGTTTCGTCCCTCGCGTAAGGGCGGATCGTCGTGGAGCTTCTACCTCCTTATTGCTTGGTGGTCTGAACTCGCTACAATTTGATTCGCACATGAACGTCAACCTGTCGTGATGCGTACGCTTGCGTGGGAACGTTTCCTGAGCTGACAGACGCACTTGGGTAGAAAAAACGGACATCACACTCTTCCTTCCTCTTTATGCTCGTTGCCCTATCCATGTCTTCAACGTCAGGGCACAGACAAGGTCGAGAGGTATGCACCACTCTGCCGCGGGGTGAACGCGGAGCCGGGCGATCTTGCGAAATGCTTCATGGCGATAAACGGGCAGAACCCGTTGTTGAGGGGACTGTACGCAGGTACTACCGTACGCACACGATTCGGATCGTGCGCGAGCTGTTTTCTCCTTAACATCTCGAAAATAACCCGCGATATGGAGTAGTGCAGCGCTGGGAAGGAGGGAGTGTTCCGTGTCGAGCGGCAAAGAACTCTCCATAAGGAAACCGGCTTTGCAGCGTGCCTTTCTATATGAGGCCGGGAGTCTCTGCTTTCTGACGTACTCTGTATCTCTCTCTCTCGCACTCCCTGTGGACTAACCCACTTTGCATCGACGTGTTTCCTTGTCACACCTTGCGCGCACACCATCACCGTGATGACTCGCAAACTACAATCAATGTCGACAGACCAGCTGGAGCGATGGTTCGCGGTGTTTTCTCGATCACAGGTGAAAACCATCACCAAGGGCAGCGCACCGCACTGTCCGTCCGGAATGCGTGCTTGTGCCAGTAAAGAAACATGACACAGCACATGGTAAATACAGAGTTTTCGCGTCGATGGTGTGCGGAACCCTCTTGCGCTCGTTACGTGATCGCCCCGCAACCTGCATCACGTCGACCGATATATCGGCCATTGCTGTCGGAGCTGTGAGTGATCCTTAAATGAACGGTTGAGTGCGGCAAGCGTTGGATGCTGGCCCGGCGTGCCATGGCACATGCCTGCTGTTATTTATTGTTCTGTCGATGGAGTACTACAGACGCGGACGAGGCCGATAATCGAGACACTCCATGTTCGTGTCAAGGCCCAACTTCTCACTACGCCGCAACCATTCGCCGAGCATTTTTTTGAGTTTGGGTAGATGTACGATAATCTAGGATCCACCTCTCGGTGATGCGTGTCATCCTGTGCAATTGTTCGTGAATATTGGCGCCTGTCTCAGGCCATGCTTCTCAACGGCATACTACATTTGTGCGCCCGTTATGTTCTTTGTTTCCTCCCCAAACCCGAAAATTCAACCACACCAACACCGCACAATTTCATATGCAACCTCTCCCTTCATTTTTTCTGTTCTATGCACGCAATAACCACAAAGATACTCGTGATCGACTCTTCGGAGCTGTATCGTGACTTCCTCCCAACGCTGGAGAGGGCTGCGAGGCACTTGGGGCTGCCGCCACACGACTTCTACTACAACTCCGACTTCCAGCACAGCACCGGCGCTTGCAAGGAAAACCGCCCCCAGTTCTTCGGCGAGGATGGGAGGTGGGTGATCGACCGATCGCACCTGTGTGTATGGTGGGCTGTGGAATGAGTGAAGAATTTCACATTGACTTCCATCCAAATGAACGACAAAGCGACGAAGTACGCGTCACCAGGCTGCGGTTCTCTGTTGTAGACGTGGCAAGAAGCCTATGCCCTAGCGATCGATTCTGACTCTGTCAAAAACAATATCACAGCCGCCGGCGTGCAGCCACCGGCGCACAGCCGGGCTGTTGGAAGATCCCCAAGCATCTCCTGCAGGAACCTTTCGCCGTGGTTGAAGTTCACTCTGATCGCTGGTACGCGGCTACCGTCGCACCTCTTGTCCAGTTCTCGGCATTTACCGCAACAAACTCGAAAGCTTTTGAATGTGGGTCTACGATCGAGCTACAGAGAAAATACTGAAAGCTCACTGGGTCCCGCGTCAGAACTCGATATGAGCGTGGTGAATGAAGCGACCGAACCTCCAAGGCTTGTCTATCCTAGGAGGAAGAACGCTTGCCGCTGTACAGCTGCTTGTTTCATATGATATGCCGGCAAGTGAGGAGTAGACAGCTTGACCGCTGTTTGTCAATTTCTGCGGCCAACAGCGCGTCAGTGCCGATGGTATTGAGCGCAGCACGCCGCCGAACTCGCTGCAAGTCCACCTTGTATGAAAAAAATCACTCTCTCTGTTGCTTTGATTATTACAACATGTATCTTGACGTCATTCTGCACGTTCCGCATCCGATCGGCTCTCTGGTCCCCTGCAGATACAAGAAGATGCTCGAGCAGGAGCAACTTTTCCGAGACTGGTATAGACCTCACAACGAGCGCCTCTACTCCCTCATCGGCAAAGATTTTAAGTGGGACTAGGTCGGCTCCGTCGCGCGCAGCATGAAACGCGGTGCGACGGTGGCCGGCGTGCACTATAGAGTAGAAACACCGTCAACGGGCGTTGAGAGATATTCAACGATTGGCGGTCAAAAGGGTTTACCTTCTGCGAGGATGTTGGCCTCTCTCTGTCGCTCGCTGGAAGAGCCCGATGATGTCCTCATGCAACCGATATTCGTCGGATGTCTCGTTGACGCGAGCGAAAAGAAAGACGGCTGGCGATAGTACGGTAGTGAGGAAGGTATATACCTAAAAATATGTAATATACCTGTTCAGTCTTCACCAACTACAAAGCACACTATTTCTCTCTGACCGACTGCTTTCGCCAGTCCCGCAGCAATGGGTAAACACAGTCATCATACGCACAGGTCCTCACCGCCTTGAAGCGTCCGCTTCATGAATACACCGCGTCAAAGAGTTGTGCAAACATGCCGCGCGCGTCCAAACAACGTTCATCGCCAACGCGTTGTCGACGGCCCGCAATTTGGTGCAGCACGGACACCTACATCTTACCCCGCAGGTCGACACACTCTCTACTCACGAAGGAATGAATCGCCCAGGCGTCCAAGCGGCCAAAGAAACTTAACTGGGCTCGGCCGAAAAGATTTGTCTCGGGTGGTGGGGACCAACCCATACGGCTTGCCACTGTACATTTTGTTTTCGCAGCCGGAAATTGAACCGTGCCTGTCCCGTAGTCAGGCCGTCGTCGGCATCTCGGTTTCCAATGAGTTGGGGGTTCCGCTGGTTGATAGAGCAATTGTTGCCGTGTGCCGCCGTCCGACATTCCTTCCTATCACATCTTCACTTACCCGCAATGCGAGCAGAGACACTATAATACGGTAGAAAAGCGAGATTGCACTGTCGCGGAATGGATTTCCCGAAACTCGAAAAATAAAAATACGTTTATCAAGCCCCGCCGATGAAACTACAGAGTGAATCTTCGTCGGCGGGAAGCCTATGAACCGTACATTTCTTGTGGCATTTTTGAAGCTGTTGCATCAGTCTATCCGTCAACACCCGTGAATAATTATTCATCGTATCCCCGACCCTTACCCGCCCTCGCCTCCAAGGATCACCTTGAGCTGCAGTGCAAGTCTCGCTGCCTCTCAAGCATGTCTCGGTACTGTAGGGCATCGCTAAATCATGAATCCACAAAGATGCACACACCGCCTCGAAACCGCGCGCGGTGCTTAGTCTAGTTTCAAAAGTTCATGCGAGATAGACAACGACGAGCACAGCAGTAGATGGAGCGCTACTCTGTTACCGGCTAGACTACGGGAGCACCGCAAGACGCGCTCGAAACAAGCCCTGTTTGTTGCCCCCGAGACAAAACTTTCCGACAAAGGCATCCCTTCGAATAGACCAGCAAGGAGTAGCGCAGGGATAAAATTTCATCATGACAAGTGAAGCAGCTTTTTCTGCTACACTCAAAATGTGAGCGAAACAGTCTACCCAAAAAAAGTGACGCCAAAACCCTGAGAAAAGTCGTAGACCCCTCTCGACCTCTTCAAAACTATGTCGTATAATAGTTGCAGCACATGGAGAAGGATGCCGTTCAAGCACGACACAACAGCTGTACTTGTGGAAAAGAGAACAACGCGCGACAAACGCATAAACTGCCACAAGAAGCGAGGGAACGTCTACATATACACATACAGCGTTCGCATGGTTACCGTACGTCTCATGGCCCACGCACGAACTAATCAAATATTCAAGAGAAGACCGGAAAGCTCGGTGCAACGGCGGTTGTCATGCCGCGGCAAATAACGCGGGGTAGACGCGCAAAAGAACAACCACAACACACAGTAGGCTATGACCCACGGTGGACCGCAATCGCGCGCCCCGCCCCCCCAAATGAAAGCAAGAGCAAAGCCAAGGCTGTAGATATTTGGAAGACTTTCGTTGAATAGAACGAAGCAAATAAAAGTAAGAGGACTGCAACGGGTGTCCCCCACGACGCAGCTGCAGCGCGCAACACACGGACGCCCCGGTGGCCTAGTGGGTAACCTCGCAGCCTGCTAAGGGCCAGGTCATGGGTTCGAGTCCCGGCAGAGAGAGGTTTTTTTCTCACTGAATAAATCCTGGTCTAGGATGAAAGCGACGCGCTGCAAAGCTCGTTGTTAGTAAACCATGATCGACTTCGTAAGTCGCGAGGGAAGGGATTGCTGTACCCTTGTCGCGATAAAAATACCTCAGGCAGGAACCGCAGGAGGGGGTCCAGCCCCCCCCTCCCATGTGACCCCGGTTGGGTCGTCTAGCTAGTACAAGTGGCCAGAGGGGCAGACGAGGGGCAGACGACAGAGTCCAATGATAGGAGAAAAAAAAAAAAACACGGAAAACACGAAAAACACGGTCCGACAGACGTGTCCCCGTGCATGGATCGCTGGGGGAGTGCGAGTCAGTCGTGGAAACAAAACCTCAAAACTCGACATGTCGACAACACGGCACACTTTCTGCTTGACCTCACGCTCAAAAGTCGAGGGGGGGAGGGTTGAACACATGTTCGCTTGTTGCCTCCGGATATTCTCATCAAGTTTTCGCCGCTCTCGGCATGAAGCCCAACGGAACACCAACCCGTCTTGCTCTCAGTAACAACAGAGGCATCGAACACAAAATCGGGCGCCCTCTCTCTCTCTAGACGGCCTCGCGGTGTGTTCTGCACGGAAGAGGGACCACCCAGGCAACACAATAAATACTAAGAAAAGGAAGAAACGCGCCGCCCTTTCGCTGCTCTGCACACAGCCAGGCCGCTTCGTCCGCGTACTGGAGGGGAAGCAACTCGTGTGGCAAATTCTCGCATATGCCCCCTCCCCCCACCGGGATCCGTCGCGCTTGCCACACTCTACTTGCTGCCGAAGAGTTCAGGTCTTGGTGGCCGCCTTACAGCCGTTTTTGTCGCGCGGAGATTTGATATATTTTCACTGATCAGCAGGTCAGCGCGGTCTCTACATGCTAGCAATCATGAAACACACAACGCACACAAGCGCACGAATCCTCCGTGTCGCCACCGGCACCACCGCGCATGAGCTCGGTGACCAAGGTAGAAAACCGCGCTTTTCCCAGCACGGCAATTAACGAAATCTGAATGAACTCGAGACTATCTTTCCGAAAAGTCGCCCAAAATCCTTCAATCGCCATCGATCGAATCAACAAGATAAGGGATGATAAATAGTTTACTCACAAAAACGAAAAAAAAAAAGTTACGCATGACCCAAGTTACAAGAGGGATAGGACAGGTCAACACGGAACAAACGCATACAACACAAGACCGGCCAACGCACCACGACGTTCGACTAACAAAACCATGGTGTACATGTGTTACAACAAACCTCCCTCTCCCTGCTTGCGTGTACATCCGTTGTTCGGCTGCGAGAACCGGGCGTTTCTCTTGCATCAACTCTCCGGTTGTCCCTCGCCGGCTATAACTTAGCGGCCGACAGCCATTACAGCTGCTTTCCGCACGCTTCAAAGCACACACAAGATTGATTTCGGGCATGGGCCTCTCGCCAGAGCTCTTTGAACGTCACACGCAGCTCTCTCAATCGAAAAGTTGCGACGTGTGCCTGCTGGCAGGCAAAAGCTGCGACGCCCCGGCAAACTAGATTGCAAACCAGGCCGCAGGCACCAGCGGCGATCGATAGATGCCGTCAAGCGGGAGTCGTCGGCGAGCGCTTTCCGCCACCTCTCCGAGCACGCACCACAGAGAGGGAGAGACAGGGAAGGAGACAGAGAGACAGGTCTCAGCTTTTTCCTGCCGCCGCTCACCCGCTTGGAGCCCCGCTCGTCAAGCCCCACACTATAGCTCGTCTCTAGATGGCGCATCTGGTGCTGGTACCCGGACTTGCTTGTCGTGGGTCTGCCAACGGGTGATTTGCGGGGAGAGGAGAGACGTGAAAAGGCAGACAAACAGACGTGGGGGCGGAAAGACGCAAGAGGAGAGTAGTGAACGGCGAACAAACCGGTGCGTGTTGCACGGACGATAGTAGGAATTGAAGGCTGCCCCAGATCCATCCATCCAGCCCGACCACAAACAGAGCAACGGGACGGTTCGTGACGTGCCAACAGTACAAACACGCGCGACCTCTTCAAACACACACTTGTATCAACAACATCATCGACAACAACCACTTGGGTACTGAACGGCCCCCGCGCCCCCAGTGGGCGCGGGGGCCGGATCGCGAGAGTAATCGACGAAGGTGAAAAAGGATAACAAAAAAAAAGACGGCGAAGAAGATGGAGGAAACTGATGAGAATCTGATGTTCCCGTGCGTGGGTANGGCCCCAGCGCCCCCAGTGGGCGGGGGGGCCGGATCGCGAGAGTAATCGACGAAGGTGAAAAAGGATAACAAAAAAAAAGACGGCGAAGAAGATGGAGGAAACTGATGAGAATCTGATGTTCCCGTGCGTGGGTAAGAGTGGAGAGGCGTGGCACCGCGCAATGTGTGGTGAGAACGCACGGGTACCTGTATGTGAACAAGTTGATGAAGGCTTGCCCACAAAGAGATTTATTGTGGAAATGTATTCACAGAAAGAACCATCCGATACCGGCGTGGAGGCTGCAGGATCCGATACAAACATGTATAAGAAAAAAAGCAAAAACACCGTGAAGAATGACGAAATATCTACACGCCGTGAGTAGTGCCGCAAAGTTCAAGGTTCGCTTGACGCTAACGCCCTGGTGAGTGGTGATGAAAGTACTGGTGACACGCGGCAACCAATGTACAGTTCTCTGACTGTCTAAAGTTTTACTTGAAGAATGTGTGGCTTGTCGTCGAGTAACAAAATCTTTCCCATCGCTCGTACGGTGGTAATAGACAAGGTACAACACATGACCACAACACTATTTTTGCGGTTCCGTTTGTTCCGAGTGAAGAATTCGTCGAAAACATTTGCGCGGGTCCGCTGAGCAAGCGGCTTGCATACAGCACACCGGCTGAGAGTAAACGTGCGTCAGTGTTGGCAATGGCGTTCGTCGAAGCAAGTTGATGAATGCAAGATGTACCTGTTGTAGGCATTTCGCGTTAGAGCGGAAAGGCGAGGCACGGCATATTGCGTGATGACCGCGGTCGGTATCATACTGCCGTTGACACGAAGCAGGGGAAGGCAAGTTCTCTCCGCTACCACAGCAGTGCTGCAAACGATATGTGAGTATCTTCACGGCTTGACGGCCTTCCGTACCCGACCCGGTGAATGGCCGGGTTTACAACTTCCTGGCATTTTGTGCTGACCTCCTGCAAAGCCCATATATACAGGAGGTGTTGAGGGTGTTGGCTGCTGTTTACATTGTGGAGACACAGCAGCTCTCTGTACGGCCAATCCTGTGCTCCTGTGCTTCGGTGATAGTTGTGCACACGCGGCTGTCACGCATGTTTTCACGGATTGACCAAAACCCCAAACTCGCGAACTCGTCCACGCGCGCGACCTAACGTCCGAACCCTTATAACACATGTGAAACGTGCTTCAACTAAAGTCTACACTGATCTGCCGTGTACACACGCCATAATAAATAGATGTGCGTGCTGTACAGCGGCTATAACTAACCGTTGGTGGCCGCTCTGTTACTAATCGTGCGCTGCTCAAGATACCGCATGTATGTCTAGAATTCCTCACCACACCCATCCGATTTCGACCATTGCTCAAGCGCGAGAGTACACGTTCCGTTGGTCAAACGTTTTGGCGGTTGGGGGCAGCTCAAGGCCGTCGTATTCAGTCTCACTCAAGAAGAGAAAAAAAACGAAAAAAAATCTGCACCTTCTCTATTTTCAAGTAGTACGACTGAATAAATTAACCGAGGGAGATCTCACGTGTTCGTTGACGAAGGCCTCCAACGGCTCCAGCTCGTGCTCCCCGTCGTAGACCTCGGGCTTGTCCTTCGACCCGGCCTTGAACAGCATCACCGTCGGCAGCTTCTTCGCCGAAACCTATCAACCAAGCACATCCGGCCCCGGGAGAAACACACACATGAACACATACCAGATCATGGCCTTACGAAGCATTTCGTGTTTTCAACCGTCCTGAGACCGACCTCTTTGATTGGTCAGCCGGTTGGCGCGGTCGATAAAAACAGACACACACACAGCAGTTGATGTCTGGAATCCGGAGAGTAGCTTAGCCTCCCCCTCACAGGCTTCCCGACCATGGCCTTCCGAAGCATTTTCTGTTTTCACCCGCACTGAGGCTGACGTACGCTGTATTTATCAGCCAGCCGGTTAACGCGATCGATGCTAACAATAAAATAAACACAACACAAACACGCAGCAGTGACTACTATCGATAACTGCAATGTAATAGAGACCGACCGATGAGGTAGATACGACCCGTACGGTGGGGCAATCGACGACTGTCAAAAATTTCAGGGTCTCTTGTATCATAAGTACAAGAAAAGAATAACGAAACAACAACACACAGAAACGCTTCATTCTGCCAGGATTGCATACTCATGAAAAAACGAAAAAAAAAAAAATGTGGACAACATTTCATTCCGATATAAGCCCAAATCCCAACCATCACGGCTATCATGAGATTCACTACTGCATGCACAACGGACCTCTAACGGCTAGCTCACCCCGGGATAGTCCAGGTCGTTAGCCGCCACGTCCATGTTGGCGACGACGAGCTTCTCCCTCCCTGCCAGCCTCTCCGCCATGTCTTCGTATATCGGGCCGAGCCGCCTGCAGTGCGGGCACCACGGCGCGTAGAAGGCTACCAGGACGTCGTTGTCTGGTGAAGATTGGCAACAAATGCAAAGAAGCGAGCGGGCACGGGGTCAGATGCCGAGAGGACAGAGAAGATAGCAACAGGGAGATGGACAAAGAGACAGCGATATGGACATGGACAGAGACAAAGACAGAGATAGCGACAACGACGGCAACAGCAACCACGGCAAACGCAGACGCCATCACGAGACGGGGGGGGGCAGCGCTATTCAGTTCAGTGTCGGCTGCGCTCGATTGGAAGGAGTGCACCGCGGGTGTAAAAGAAAGCCGCAATACTATATAAAATCGCACGAAAACAATCGCACGAAAAAACAATAATGAACTCTCTCTCTCTCTCTCTCTCTCTCTCTCTCTCTCTCTCTCTCTCTCTCTC